TAGACAACATACAGAGACCCTATGTCAAAAACAAATCTATCCTAGTCTCTTTCTCCTGAAGATTTTGGCTGGGTCAAAAGTGGCCAAAATAATCAGACAGAAAATACTAGTGTAGAAAAAGTTATATTTAAAGCTTAATCTTATTAAGAATAAATCTGTAACAGTTACATAATGGATCAGAAACCTGTCAGGAGTGGTGGCTCAAGTCTAATCCTGGCACCACAGAGGTTGAGTCAGGAGAATCACTGTGAGCTCCAGACCAGCCTGGGCTACAGAAAGAAACCCTCCTTCCAAAAAGTAAAGGAGGGGCTGGGAGAGATGACTCATCAGTTAAGAGAACTTGCTGCTCTTACAGAGGGCCCGGGTTCAATTCCTAGCACCCACATCGTGGCTAACAACTATCTATAACTCCAGGTCTGGGGGGATTTAAGACCTTCTGACCTTCGAGGGCACTGTACAGGTGCCCTACCTACATGCAGGCAATACACACATACACACGAAATAAAAATTTTAAAAGGTCAAAGATACTATTCTAGGAAAGCCCCAAGCTTGATTCTGATATAGGATGAGTATGAATTAAGACGCCAGTCAAGAATGACAGTTATAATGGAGGTGGGCCAGTTAATACTGGCTTTAAATTATTTTCTAAAATTTTTTCCTGAACTTTTAAAAATTCTTATATTAACGCATTCCTGGGAGTTATTATTCTTATGAAAAAAATCAAAGTTGGGCTGTCACAATGGTGCAACAGGTAAAAGTGCTTGCTGCCCAGCCTGACCAGGAACCACAATGATGAAAGCCGATTCCTGAAAGTTGTTCAAAGCACAACAAAGCACAACATGTGCTGGGGTGTGTGTGTGTGTGTGTGTGTGTGTGTGTGTGTGTGTGTGTGTGTACACACACAGAATATAATAAAAAATTTAAATCAAAGTCTCCAATAAATTATCAATACATTTCATATAAATTCATTCAGAGATAAAGGACCATAAAAGTTAGTATTTATCAACAGGTATGGCTGCACATGCCTTTAATCCCAGCACTCACAGAAGCAGAGGCAGATCTCTGAATTTGAGGACTGTGTGGTCTGCATAGGGAGTTCAAGGCTATCCAGAGCTACATAGTGAAACCCTGTCTCAAAAATAACCGGCCCCACCCAGCAAGATGGCACCATTTGCATGCCCCTTTCATAGCTGCTGGCCCCCAGCTACTGGAACCCTCCTGGACCCCAAGCTGTGCTTCGAGAGAGTCAAAGTTCCCACCAAATGCTAAACCTGAATGTCTGGAAGTTGGCTAACTTTGAGCACTGTGGCTTGCTTTCCTGTGGTTCTATCCCACCAACTATAATGAAGATGTTTTAGAGCATAAAAGAAGAAATGAGTTAGAATAAACTTTGTAAATACTACAGTAGTCTACCGCCATATAATGATCATGGCAGTTCCTCTGGATTCACCAATCTGTTGAGTTGTGAATATAAGAATCCTAAATTTTATATGAATACATATCAGTGAAGTCAGCATTTGTTTAGAAACATTAAAAAAATAAAAATATGTCCCTCAAACATAAAAACATTAACTAGTCTGACCAACACTACCTAGTAAGTTTTTTCATTTTTCTCCTTATTTTCATTACAGGTTGAAAAGTCATCAAAGAAAAAGCAAAATCTATTTTTATCATTCAAGACTTTCAAATTATATGTATGTAATTTATATGGAAGAATTTACCATTTCTTCCCCCTTTTCAATACTATTGTTCTTCAAAATATGATTCTACACAAGATTTTTCTGAATTACTACATGTAAAACTAACAATGAAGAAAACCTTCATCCAGAATATCAAGAGCATAAGAGAATGAAATAATTTCTAAAATAAAGGTATAGTATATTAATGTATATTAATACAGACAAAAATTAGAAATAATTCAACTGTATAGGGAGCTAGAGAGAGCTGAACCTTTCCAGTCTGACCTGAATTGCAGATGACTCAGTTTACAGTATCATTTACTTTCAAGTTGGCAAGAGAAGACTGCTCTGACCAATTCCTCAGTTAACAAAAAGGGGGAGTAAGGGTAACTTACATGTTTTACTATAATATTTAATATCTTTTCCCATTTATACTTATAAAGGAAAACATATTCAACAGCTATAACATATGGGCACCAATTTCAAAAATCTTGACAGGTGCTAACTTGGCTACATAGTGTAGTATGCCTGACATTATCCATGTACAAGTTTTATTTTATTATATCTATCCATGTCACCACAAAACAGACTTAGGTTTTCACTGCAGACCTTCTTTTCATGAAATATTTCACAAAGTAATTTGAGCATATACAAATTGTTTCTAAATAAAAAATCAGACTAAATGAATCACTGTTATATTTGAAAATGGCAATACTGATTTCTTAATACTATCCTTTACACAAATGCCTCTTGAAATAGAAAACTGGGGAGAGTAATAACTAATAAAGGCTAGTATTTACCGAGCACAGAACCTGACACTGTGATGAATTCTTTGCATATATTAACTCAATCCTTACTCTTAAAAGGTAGGAAATGTAAATATCACCACCTGAACGGAGAAGACTATTCAATAAACAATTTATCTAAGAAGTGGTAGCGGTAGGTTTGAGCCCAGAGTTTAAAACCAAGCTACTGGGAGAAGAGGCTGAGGAAGATGACAAAATACTTAACTACGGCTGGTGGCAAATACCACCACCAGTGTCTTGAGTAGAATCTTGGCTTACAATCACCTATAGGATCCCCCAAATTACTCATGTACCGGAGCCTCATTCACATGATGTGGATTTCCACTGGTCTGAAGGGGGATGGGGAAAAGGAACCCCCCCACCCCAGATGATTTTAATGGGTAGAAAATTATACCAACCAAATTACTGTTGGATATGCAAAAGAGCAGTACGGATTTGTAATACCAATTGTAATTAAGGTAGTTTTTACTGAGCACAGTTACCAGGTGATTCAAATAAGCAGGTAAGATTATAAACCATTAATAATTATTTTCCATGTTGTTAACCATTCCAAATAGCCAACTACAATCAAATTTACTGATCGATCATCTGAGCACTCTGCCTATTACATTCTCCACTTATCCAACAAAGTGTTTAGGTTTTCTTCACCTTGAACAAAAGAAACATTACACCTGTACCTGAGTCTTACTTGTTTTGCTGTTCTGAAAGCAGAACCTAGGGTAAGCACTGTACTATTGCTCTGGGTGAACCTTTGTAAATAAAATTTTGCTAGCTTTGATTCATGAGAATTGCAGGAAAAGTTCAGACAGCACAGAAAGTATGGCAATTGCTTTTAAATTCCTTCTTTATTTTTTCAACTTTTTTTTTAAAAAAAGTTATTATTTTTATTTTATGTGTATGTATGTATAGCCTGCATGTAGGTAAGTGCACCCATGTCGTGCAACGCTTGCAGAGGTCAGAAGAGGCTGTTGGATCCCCTGGGTCTGGAGTTACAGACAGGTGTTAGCTGCCATGTGGGTGCTGGGATTCGAACCCGGGTCTTCGGCAAGAACAACCAGTGTTCTTAACCGCTGAGCCATCTCTCCAGCCCCTTAAATCCCTTCTTAAAGCACCCATACTCCTCGTTTAAAGAAAAGAGAAAAAGATCCTAAGAGTCACACTAAAAATTAAATACCAAGTTCTGACAATAAAAAATTGTGATATATGTTTAAACTGTATTTATACTTGGTTATATTTCTTAATTAAGATGGTGATGATGACAGTTAAATCAGGAGCTGTTATTATGGTGATAAGTCCCACCTTCTCATGCATGTACTGAGACTGTGATTATGCAGTGTTTTTACCCTGTTAAGTCACCTAAATACACATTTTAAAGGTGCTAAGAAATCAAAGCATTGCATAAGCATACCCAAACAACAACAGGGCTAGTCAGAACACTGCTCTCACCAGCACTGCTCGGACTCTGCTGACAAGCTTCTCTGAGGAGTCTCACTGTTTCTGACTTAGTCACTGCACATCCCACTCACCCTACATCAAAACACAATGAAAACTGTTTCAGACATCTTCAGACTTGGACATTTCTATTAATGAAAAAGTGAGTATAGAGGTATACAAGTACAAGTCTGTTCTAGAATTCTGAACAAGAGTTGTAAAATGCAAGAGTATCAATACTTCAAGTTGTGTAAAACTCCGGACTTCTCAGGGAAATGTTACAAAACTTCCTGCTTCCGGACAGCTCATTATTTGGTTTAAGTCTACACATTCCTTTATTAGTCATGACCTTTTAGAAAGCTTTCATTCCTTATTGTTTGAATAATGCTGGACTTTTGATGTTGCTAATAAGACTTATAGAAGCCCTTATCAAACAAGAGCCAACCTAGAGTTCATGCCCCAAAGCAGAGCTTAACGATTACAGGAAACCCTCAGTACTTTCAATTTGTTTCAAACATCTATCTTTCTGCCAATTCTTACGTCTCTCTATATATTTCTATCATATACAGCAGCAGGAACTTGCATTAGTTTTGCAGACATTAACTCTTACGGAATTAGGAAGCCCTGTTACGTGTGACACAGACACAAAACAGTGAACCTCACAACGATTGCCACTGGGGTCTCTCACACACCAGATCTGACCTCTGAGCCTATGTCAGTAGGGCACAGACATCCAAAGGATATCGGGGGAGCCTCATAAATGTGTACCCCTCCCGTTACTGGCTGAAGGGGTGGCCCACAGGGCAGACCCTGGAGAGCCACCTTCCCTGCTGGGATCCCGCACATTCTCGGGGTCCGTGGGGCCTGCTACAGGACTGTGAGAGAGAGGGAGGAAGGCAGTGGCAGTCCCCACTTTGGAGTCCTAAACAAATGGAAATAGAGCAAGTTCTCACTTCCTGGTTGCCGGCTCTTCCCCGGGGCCCTTCGTCCAGGGGCAGTCACCCGGGAGGGGTTCAGGCAAGCAGGAGCCTGCGGGGTCCTGGGGCCCACCCAGCCCGCGCCGCCCGCCCTCGCCGGGCCTTACACGGTGACGTGACCGGAGCCGCGGACCACCACCGGGTCAGGCGAGTACTTGAGCAGCTGCTCCTCCAGGGCCCGCTCTTCGTCCTCCTCCTCCTCGTAGATCTCGTCGAAATCAGCCATCCCGCGCCTGCTAGACCCGCGCCGGGAGTCTGGCTCCGGGCGGCCGCCGAGGACCGGCTGGTGAGGCAGCGGACGCGGAGGCCGCGGAGTGGGAGCTCGGCGGTGGCGCTGGGGCTACTGAGGAGCCAGGGTCCGGGCAGCAGCCGCCATTACCGTGGGCAGGAACAACAACACAATGTCAACATCCGCCCGGGGCCGCCACCTCCACCCGCGCCGCCGCCGCCGCAACTCCGGCAACCACAGCAACAGCCTGAACCACCCGCATCGGGAGCAGCCGGCTACGGCATCGCGAGACTTCCCGGGAGCGCGGGCGGGCGGGCGGGCGGGCGTGGGCCCCTCGGCGGGAGGCTGGGAGGGCGGTGCGCGCGCACACGAGCCGGCCTCGCGCGCTCCCGACACGCCGGCCCCTTTCGCGGCTCCCACCCGCCGGCCTCGCCCGGGCGCGCGCGCAGCTTTTGGCGCGGCCCCGCCCTCCGGCTATGGGGTCGACGAGCCGGAAGGCAGTGTCTATGCCGGCTGGAGACGGTAACCCAGTCTCGACTCCCACCGCCGAGTCCAGCAAAACGCACTAAGGAACCTCTAACCCAGGCACAGCACTGCCAGTGAAGCCCCGGTTGCAGGAGAAGCTGACTGCCGGCTCAGCCAGTTGATCAGTGCGTAGCAGTGCTTTGGGTCTACCATGAGAAACCGAGTCGACTTTCCCAACTTGAGACCGACCTACCCTGCCTTTCTGTCTGCCATCCCACCGGGTCTTCCAAAACACCCCCAAAGTCAAACGGCTCCTCCCTTTAGTCTCTCAAGTATGGGCCCAATTTTTTTTTTTTTTTGAAAGAAATCTCACGCGTCATACTTTGAAAGAAAGCTGAGAAATGTTCGGGATTCCAATTAAGATTCAGTTCCGTGCTTCAACTCCCTAACGGAAGAGAACCTGTTTCTTCCATTAAAACCTTGGAGAATCTCTTTCCTTGTCTTACCAATTCCACAGAGAGAGAGGGGAGAGGGGAGAAGAAGGAAAAGCAAGAGAGGAGGGGAGGAGGAACAGCTGGCTTCGTGGATTCTGTCCATCTGCCTACTAAAGGCCAAGAGTCACCTTGGACTTGGTTTTATAATCAAGTCTGCCAAGCATACAGACAACACAGGGACAAGGTGGACTCCTGGGGACAGAGTCTGGATCATGAAGTAATAAGACTTTATTGTTGTGTGGGGAAGGAAGGAATGGTCCTACTGGACAGTTCCTCAGACTGTTCTCCAAATAGTGGTCACATCCTCAAAGTTCATATAGGGGTCATTGTCCAGAGAGAAAAAGTACAAAGGTTAATGCCGCCGATGAGAAATAACAAACAAGCTCCTATTGGAAGGGCTGAAGAAAATGGGAGGTGGAGGAGAAGATGGGTCAGAGTTGTATACCTCCCCAGAGGTATTCATTCAATAAATCCCGAGCTCCAGCTATGTGGCAAGCCCTGTGTGTGTGAGAGAGAGGAAGAGACAGAGACAGACAGTCCCTACCTTCCAGTAGCTTATGAGTCATTAAGACAAGCAATGGTAATTCTCTGTCAGGTGTTCAGAGGTTATGCAAAGGACACTAAAGCGCACACACAGGAGGCAGCTTAGTCTGGTGGTTAATAGAAGATTCTCGAACTTGACATTGAATCTCAGCTGTAGCACTATATACCCCTGAACAAGTCACTTCTTCATTCCCCACATGTAACAGGAAGGTAAAAGCTGGGTGGTGGCACACATCTATACAATCCATCAGTTGGGAGATGAAGGCAGAAAAATCAGGAATTCAAAGTCACCCAGCCAGATTGGGCTGCAATAGATCCTGTCATTCATAAATAGATAGATGATTGATAGATAGATGATAGATGGATGATAGATAATACATAGATGATAAATGATAGATGGATGGTAGATAATACATAGATGATAAATGATAGATAATTGATAGATGATAGAAGATAGGTAGAAGACATGATATATAGATAAGATAGATGATAGATAGATGATAGATGGATGGATGGATAGATGATAAAGGTAAGGTAATAAGAGGATGGAATTCCATAGTTTCAGAGATGCTGTTTGTGATTTTTCTCATGGTCACGTGGCTATTTAATGGTCTCACTCAGGACTTCAACTCCATTTTAGATGTACTAAGCACCTGAATTTCCTCCTTGGCAGGAACGAGACCCATGGCTACACTCAAAGGAGTGGCTGCAAACAGGAGGAAGAAAGGGAATGAGATGAAAACTGGCCTATTCCCAGCAGGGCTCACACCCTGTGCTGTGGCTGACAATTCACCTTACAGCAGCTGGGAAGGGGCTGGTGACCCAAGGATCTTAGTCATTACAGCTGACAACTTTCCCAAGGGCAAAGGAAATCACACAGGGCCTTCAGGTTCCAGCACCTTCCATAGATCTTGCTTCAGAGGAGGAGCTCCATGGCTGTTTTCCAAATTGAGATGTATCATGACTGGTGGTATTTGAGGAACATTAGCACTTAATTGGGCTTCAGAGGACCTGTGAGAACCTCACTCTTAATGCTGGTGCTGTGTGGGAGAAGTGTTCTTGTTCTAAGATCTACTCAACAGAGAGATCTTTGTACCTCCCACTGTCTAGGTGTAAAGTGGGGGGTTGCTTTTTTCTTTATGGCCCTTCTTTTTCTTGTTCTGTAAAACTTACAAGTATCAGAGGGCATGAGACCTGAGAATAAGCCACGGGGGCCAGGGGGGGAGTAGGGAAAGATGAGTCAGACATTTCCCTATAATAATTGACATCATAATTCCAAACTCCACCCCCAACCTTCCAGGGTCCAGTTTCCTGCCAAACTCCTTCCTCCACCTCTCCTGAGGGTGAACCACCCTGATTATTATCTTTTCTCTCTACCTCAGGAGTTCCCCTGTGCCTGCCGTACTCACCCCTGTATACATTCCTCTCCTCTGGGGTCCCCTTCACACTCCTGCCTCTTAGTAACTGCCTACTCATCCCCATATACATACCTCTCTTTGAGTTCCCCTTCAGACCAAATGGCTCAAAAACCAAACAGGACAAATGCTTTGGAGGCCTCAGGAGGCAAGATTTCATTGCTATTGGGGGGTGGGTAGTAAAAAGTGAGACAGGGTCTCACTTGGTAACCAAAGCTGGCCTAGAGTTTGGTATGTAGCTCAGGCTGGCCTTGAATTGTGGCAATCCTTCTGTGTCAGTCTCCTGAGTGGTGAGCAGGCCATGATTCCTAAATTTAAAGGCCTCCAACTTCTGTCAGTACTGAGCTGAGTAGCCTTGAGCAGATTTAAAATTCTAAGCATCCCTTCTTTATCCTAACTGGTCCTTCTGGAATTATGAAGGACCAAATGAGATAATGCTTGTGCTATGGACTGAACTGTATCTTCCCCCAACCAAAATCATTGTCTGAAGCTTTAATCCTCAATATGATGGCCTTAGGACACAGGGCCTTTGGAAACTAATTGGGTTTAGATGTATCACAATGGTGGAGTCCTCAGGATGGGATTAGTACATTGATAAGAGACAGTAGAGACCCTGCTTCTTCTTCCTGCCATGTGAGGAGATAGCAAACAGATGGCTTACTGAAAGCAGGAAAGAGTACCCTCACCAGGAACCTGTAAAATATCTGGCATCTTGATCTTTGACTTCTTAGTCACCAGAACTATAAGATAACTTTCTGTTCAAGCCACCCACTCCACATGGACTAAATGTCTGTGTTCTCACAAAACTTGTATGTATAGCCAGATGTTGTAGTTCACATCCATAATCCCAGAACTCAGAAGACAGAGGGAGGAGGATCAATAGTTCCAAGCCAGGCTGGGCTACAAAATGAGGCTGTCTCAAAAACAAAACAAACTTGTATGTTGAAATCCTAACTCAAAAGATGATGTCATCAGTAGGTGGGGCCTTGGAAGATGAGTAGATCCTGAGGACTCAGCCCTCATGAATGGATCTGTGCCCTTAGAACACAGGGCCCCACAAAACTTATTTGTCTTTCTATAATGTAAGGACATGGTAAGAAGTAAGCTGTCTGAGAATAAGAAAGTGGGCATTTGCCAGACACCAGGCCTGCCTATCCTGTGATCCTGGACTTCCCTCCCCTAGAGGAGCACAAGGATCCATGAACATAGTCAACTCTGCGAGTTTAAGGTCGGCCTGATCTATATAGCTAGTTCAAGGTCAGCCAGAACTATATAGTGAGACCCTGCCTCAAAAAAACAAACAACAAAAAAATTTTTAAGGTGAAAGTGCTATTGAGATGGCTCAGTGTATAAAGGTATTTACCATGAAGAGGCTGAAAACCTGAGTTTGATCCCCAGAGTCCACAAGGCAGAAAAAGAGAACTGACTTCCACAGATTGTCCTCTGACCTCCACAGGTGTATTCACACATATCCATACATATACACATACACAAATAAGTAATCTTTTTAAAGTTCTGTCTTCAGGAAGTCCCCAGTCTATTTTATTTTATTATTTGAACTTCAGGGCTTTATTGTACAATAGAGAGGCTCAAACTTTTGCTGTCTGTCTGCCCCCAAACTTTTCAACTGTTATTACGCTGTGATTCCTGGCAACCACTTCATGCTCTCCACATAGACTTTTGAAGACAATATAAATAGGAAAACTCTAAGCTTTTTTCCTTTAAAATATTTTATTTTAGATGTTTGAGTGTATTGTCTGCATGTATGTAAGTGCACCCATGTCTTGCAATGCCTGTAAAGGGTGTCAGAAGAGGATGTTAGATTCCTCTAATAACATCTGAGGTGGAAGTAGGAGGATCAAGTTTGAGGCCAGTCTGAGCTACAGATCAAGACTCCTCATTTCAATAAAGAAACAAACAAAAAATGGGGAGCTGAGAGTGTAGCTCCATTGGTAAGCTCCATTAGTCTAGCATTCATGAAGCTGTTGGTCTGATGCCCTGCACTGCATAAACCCAGTAGGGTGATCCCAGCACTCTGAAAGTAGAGATAGGGGGATCAGGAATTCAAGATCATCCTTGGCTACACAGTAAGTTCAAGGCCAGCCTGGGGTACAAGAGAATATGAAGAAGTGGGGGAGGGGGAAAGGAAGAAGAGGAGGAAGAAAAAGAAAGGTGGGGAGGAGAGCAAAAATCAAATGAAACAATATGTGATTCTTCTCTAACTGAATGCACGCAGGCCAATAACATCTATGAGTTATACATATGCAAAAATAGCTTATGTTCTGCCACATAAAAAGCTAGATTCTTTTTTTAAAGATTTCTTTATTTAGTTTATGTGTATGTGTGCATGCCTGAGTGTATGTGCACCAGGTGTGTGCAGGCAACTGTACGCTGC